TATCTTTATATATAATCATGTGAGGTTATTCCTAATTAGTTAATTTTTAGGGGAATTTTGAAATTTGCAAAATGTGCGCAAAATTTGCGTGATTTGCGAAATATGTGCAAAATTTGCAGGAAATTTGCGCAATTTTTGTGGAATTTTTTTAAAATTAGGGTTGCGCAATGTGCAGATTATGATCACGTGCAATTTGTGAAAATTAAAAATAGATTGCGCTCCGCAAATTCTGCAAATAGATTTCATACACTGAATAGGATAGGAATTTTATTTTAAGTTAGTTAATAATTATTTTACAGTCAGTTTTATAATAATTTTAGTTTATTATTTACTTATAATTTTATAAGTACATAAATAAGAGTTTATTAAAATTATTAAATGATATTGATTCCAATTTCTTTATTTAATAAAACTAACTTTTACCCTTTAACTTTATTTAGTTAAATTTATGATATAAAATCCAATTTATCATTATTACTCTTTTCTATAAATATAAATATATACATTAATTATATTAATTTGTATTGATAATTCTATTGACGTAAATAAGACTTTAGGTATAAATTGTTAACCTTCAGAAATCTAAAACTTTGTTATACACGTTAAAGTCTATTTTTCAGTTAGTAAACTTTACAATCAATTTGTATAACAATATAATAAATACTTTAATAATCAAAATTTTATTAATAGATAAAATAGTTTGCTTATTAAAAGTTATTAACAAAATGATCATCTATATAGAAGAAAAACTTATATATTTATTTTGATAACTTTATTTATATGTATTTTATTTTAAAACATATCTAATAAGTTAAAAATAGCTTATTTTAAACTTATAAAATGGAATTATATAGTAATATTACTAAACTAAGATTTATTATGCTATTTGAAATTATAAGAAAAAATTCATAAAAATTCTTATTAATAAATTTTTTAAACTTTTTATCAAATATTATAGATGTATATCAAAACATTTCAAAATAATTTTATTATATTCTTAATTATATTTTTAATATAATTTTAACAGTTTTAATCTTCATTATATAAGAAGACTTTATCATATCTTTTATTATAATTTTAATACAGTCAATTCTCTATAAATACATCACCCTTAAGACTTAACAAAAGTATGCATTTATACAGAAAATGCATTTATAGAAAAATATAAAATAATCAGCTAGGGATATATGTGCATTATAAAATACTGCACCTATCATTTTTTAATTACATATGTGAAAATTAAAATGATCAACTATGTTAACTAATATAGTTTAGTTTTTTTAAAATTTTTTTTTTGTATTTCCTCTTTCCCCCTTCTTTTTTTTAGAAACGACATTTTTGGACTCTTAGACTTCTAGACTTTCTTAGAATATAAGTGTAGACTGCAACATTATAGTATTACTGCAACTGCAACACGTTATATAATAATATATAGCAGTGTAATATACAACGTGATATATTATTTTATTTATAGTTACATTATGATTAATCTATATTTTATTAGGTAATTTATAATTCTGATTAAGACTAAAGCTCTGAACGGTTTAGTTCAGTCCAGATTAGATGCCAATCTGTATCTGAACTGAAAATTTCAGTTCAGTTCAATTCAGATTATTAATCTTAAAAATACCAATCTGAATTCAAACTGAATCGCAGACCGATAAAAACTTGAACTGAACTGGAATTTTCAGATTAATCTAAACCATTTAGAGCTTTAATCAAGACTATAATTATATAATCACATGAATGTATTTATATAAAAAATTTTATATATACGAATTGAAAAATTATTGCACAGTGTATAGAGAAAAAGATGTATTTAATACTAATTTTCTGACTTGAGACTGAGTTAAGAAGCACATTTAAAAAGGATGTGCATTTATATAGAATGCATTTATAGAGAGTTGACTGTATTATTTTATCTAAATTTTGAGTATTATTAAGAGATTTTAATCTTTATCTATAAAGTATGTTTAAAATAGATAAGAGTAATTTTATATTATTTTATTTTTATGTATAATTTAAATTTAATAACATTTATATTATTAAAAAAAAATTAAAAAAATAGTAATAATATATTTTTAATATTTATAAAATAGTTTAAATTATATTTATAATTAGAATTTATTTTTTTATGATTATTTTATATTATTTATTATTATTTTTTTTTTAAAAAAAAAATAATAATTCAGTCAATTCTTTTTAAATAAATCTTCTCTAAATTCACTTACTATATATTTTCTCTTTAAATACATACTTTTGTTTAATTTCAAGTATATAGAAATTATATAAAATTTTCTCTTTAAATACACATCTTTTTTAAATAAAATTTTTACTATACTCTTAAGAGATTGTATTTAGAGAGAATTGATTATTATCATCGTGAAATTCTTTAATTCAGGGTAGTCACGTTATCAAGTCTCTACTCGAAATTTTTAACTGCGACTTACTGCAGTCAAGACGTTAGGATCTGTCTAACTCTTAATTTTACCAAATTTACACGTCAGACTTAAACAAATCTATCAAGTATAAAGACTTGAAAGATGAGATTATGAATAATTTTAATTAAAGAATTCAGATAATGAACTCAATTACAAATAATGTGTAGGGATCACGTCAGACTATATAAAGACATGAAGAGGCAGAAAGATATAAGTTTTAAATGATTCCTTTGTTAATATTAAAACTCGTATTCACAAGAGAGTTAATTTACAATATAAGCAAAAAGTCTATCTATTTATACAAAATTTTCTTTTGTTATGGCTAACTAATTACTATGCTATAAACTAACTAATTTAGTAAAATAAAATATAAGTAAAATAAATATATTGAGAATAATAAAAATACGTAAAATAATGAAAATATAAAATATAATAAACATAATAATAAAATTTAGAATATTAATAAGCATAATACTAAATATTCTTAGACCGTTTAATTCGTAAAATTAGGATTATCATCAGTATTTGGAAGATCTTCAGAATTACGTGGATCCTCCGTAAGAATTCGTAGTATTTTCAGAATTCTGGATTAAGAGATCGTCATACTGCGTCATCCACGTGACTTCATTATGATTGGTCAATTGCTCCATTGACACTATATAATGATATAATATGATATAAATAAAAAAAGTTTATAACTATAATTAATTAATATAATTTAATTCATAAAACTAAATATATAAAGATAAAGGAAATAAATATAAATTAAAATGATGCAAATGAAGCACATACGCCACATATATAATATCGTATTTCGTTAATTGTTAATTTCCGATATCTACGCAACCACGATTTATAGAGATCAATAACCGTTATTGGATGCCGATCCCATGGACTTGGGGGACAAGAAAGATATAGAAAAAAGGAATAGAAAGAGAAATAGAAAAGGAGGATATTCATTAACATTCTGCGCCACAACACATGCTAATAGAATGCCAATAGAAATTCGTGTAGCTTTCGATGTTGAATAAAATTAATCCTTTCCTTCAATACAAAAGTTAAAGACTACTACGGTAATTCTTCTAATAATAACATCAAACTAACCCTCAACATCTCTGGTGCCTTTTCTTACCTGTGGTTAATTCTTGTTAACACTATTTAATCACCACCGGTACCTCGTTGACGGTGATTATTTCCGCGCATAAACCAGCTATTTTCCATCTTTTCTTTTGATAACTTTGCCTTTTTATATTTTCCTCGCGGAAACCCTTCATTATAAAGTTTTTCGATCATTTCACTTTATACCAACTTTAAACTCCTTACAACATAATATACAATGGGTGCGTCAGTCTCAAAAGCTTTGGCGAGAATCTTTGGTAATAAGGAAATGCGCATCTTGATGCTTGGTCTAGATGCAGCTGGTAAAACAAGTATCCTTTTTTTTAACAATGAATCATTATCATTACAAACATTTTCATTTTGAATGGCAAGCAATTCTGCAAGGTTTACGAGTAATCGTACCTTGCAAATTTTAGACATTTTATTATCGTTGACTCTTTACATTTCAATCCTGCTAGCGATTTTGTATAAATTAAAGCTTAATCAATCTGTAACAACGATCCCTACAGTTGGATTCAATGTAGAAACAGTGACATACAAGAATGTCAAATTTAACGTTTGGGTTAGTATATATAATCTCTTATTTAAACATACGTAACATGTAATGATTACATTGATCAATTCAATATTATTTTTTTTGCAGAATGTGTGTGACGACATAAATATAATCAACTTTATTTAATTTATATAGGATGTTGGCGGTCAAGATAAAATTCGTCCACTGTGGCGTCATTATTATACTGGTACTCAAGGGCTCATATTTGTAGTTGACTCTCAAGATAGAGATCGTATAGACGAAGCTCGACAAGAGTTACATAGAATCCTTTCAGATCGTGAAATGAAGGATTGTTTATTATTAGTATTTGCAAATAAGCAAGATTTACCGGGAGGTGCGTAAATTTGATTCACTTTCTAAAGATATATTAGGATAATCTTATTTAGTAGCCAATGTCTATTTTGATTTTAATAGCAATGTCTCCTGCGGAGGTGACCGAAAAACTTGGTTTACATCGTATGAAAGAGCGTTCTTGGTACGTTCATCCTTCTTGCGCTACCACCGGGGAGGGTTTGTTTGAAGGATTAAATTGGTTAAGTCAAAACGCCAAAACAAAATAAAGGACTTTCGCATTTTATTCTGTAAGGTTATTTATCATTCTCTCATTTTTTTTTTTATTTTCAAATTTTTGAGAGTTAGTGCATGTAGATTAGAACAAAAAGGATTTGTGAAATCAGAAATTATTATTTTATTTTTTATATATATATAATTTATGATTTACATTACATAACAACATTTCATTTCTTTAGAATATCATTTATCATATCATCATATCATTATCAATTAATATAATCAATCAGTATTTTAAAAATATTTTATTATTTAATTGTTATATTAAATATATATGTATATATATATATATATTTATTTTTTTATTTATTTTATTAATTATTAAGTGATGCTAATACTTTATTAATACGTTTTAAGCAAGCTTCTTTTCCTATTGTTTTCATGGTTTCTGCCACACCAGCACCAACCTAATAATACAAAAATCACACACATTAAGAAAAATTCAAATATAATTAAAACAGACATAATAAAAAAAGATTATCTTACCTTAATTCCGGTTATGATATATCTTAAAGTCATCATGATTAGGTTTTGTTTATAACCAGTTTGAGTTGCAATACTTTGTATCATTGGCTTAATTTTATCAACCTGAAATTCTAATTCATCATCTTTAAATTCATTTAATTTGGTTAAACTTAGGTTTGAAATGGTTTTTAAAACATCATCGGGGATTTTTTTTCTTAATAACCGTGAATCTTTTAAATGATAATTTGGTTCAATAAAAAAATATTCACATAATTCTGGTATGTCTTTAATATTTCGAATCCGATCCTATGTTCAAATCAACAAAAGTTTGTAAACGGTCCGTAAGAATGTCATAATAAGAATATTGTATTGAACTTACTTTCATTACCGTTATAACATTTGTAAGATATTCATCTTCCAACCTATATTTATCCTTTGTTGATTTCAATCTAAAAACCAACGTGATTTATATTAAAAAAAAAGAAAAAAAAAATAAGTTGACCGTAGAAATTAAAATCGAATCAATTTTTTTTTACATATAAAAATAAATACTTTTCCGCAAATCTTTCATTGACAGAAGGTTTTAATAAATTTACAAGATCTTTTAATCCACCTTCAGATTCAGTTTTACGTAATATATGTTGTTTATTTAACCAATCAAGCTTTTCACGCATTACAATAGTCCCAGAATGTCCAAGGTGTTCTAAAGTAAACTTTTTTCCTCTCAAAAATAAATAAAGAAATAATATATATATAATACAACTAGATCAGAATTTTAAAATTAAAAGGTACCTCAGATATTAATTCTTCCATCGTGAATACGTCATTCTTTGAATTAACAGGACTCCATCCTAATAATGCAACAAAATTTATAAGTGCCTCAGGCAAATAACCTTTATTAGCAAAATCTTCAACGTTAATATCTCCTGATCTTTTTGATAATTTTGATTTATCCGTATTTAATAATAGTGGTAAATGAACAAAATTTGGTAATTCCCATCCGAATAATTTATAAAGTATTATATGTTTTGGTGTAGAAGATAACCATTCCTAATTAAAGTTCATAACTAATTAAATTTCTCAAAAGAAAGTGTTTTCATCTTGATAACAAATAAATTAAAATTTCTTACCTCCCCACGTAAGACGTGGGTTATTCCCATCGAATGATCATCTATCACGTTAGCTAAATGATACGTTGGGTATCCATCGCTTTTTAATAAAATAGCATCATCAATATGTTTATCATTAAATTCCACGTTTCCATGGACCAGATCATTAATGATTACAACGCCGTTGGGAGTCTATCAAAACAATTTCATCAATGTAAGTTTAAGTCCGAATGTAAAAAAAAAAAAAAATCAACGAGATGATGTACCTTTAGACGAATTGTGAAAGGGATTCCTTGTGCTAATTTTTGTTCAATTTCTTTTTGGCTTAAATGCAAACAATGCCTGTCATAAACAACGCCTTTCCCAGATCTTTGAGCTTTAATCCGTATTTCTTTTAACCTTTCTAAAGTACAAAAACATCTATAAGCGTTTCCATCCTAGCCAGAGATTTTTTTTAACATAATTTTTTTTGAATTTCATGAAAAAATTGAAATTGGGTAAAATTCTTATATATAAATCCATACATTAATCAATTTGTCTACGTGAGACTTGTAAATCTTTGTTCGTTCCGACTATAAATAAAAAAAAAAAAATCATCAATCAAAATGATTCATTCGGATTCAGTAGACGTCATTAAAGTTAAAAAATGTAACCTGATAAAATAGGCGAGGAGATTCATTATTTCCTGAACCTTTAATAATATTATTAGTTTATCAAATAATAATTTAACGAAAATTTTTATGCTAGCGCACCTTCATCAAGTTCATCAAATGATAAACCCGCCCATGATAAAACCGAAAGTAAGTTATCAACAGAATCAGCCACAAATCGCGTCTAAATTATAAATTATTTTTAAATTATCTTAATCATCATCTCTCTTTTTATTATATTTCCATTCTTTAAGATAAATAAAATAAATTTAAAATTAACCCTATCCGTATCTTCTATTCTTAAAAGAAATTTTCCACCAGTTTTACGTGCTAATAAATAGTTAAATAATGCAGTTCTTAATCCTCCAAGATGTAAATATCCTGTTGGACTGGGCGCAAACCTAACGCGTACTGGTATTTTATAATCAATTTTTGAACCTGTAGCATATAAATTTCGTTTATAAATTTGCTTAAACAAGGTCATGCAATTTGATTTATGTATAAAACGAGAATTTAAAAAAATTTGATAATTCCACATTTTTTTAAAAAAAATCACGATCTCAACTTTAAATCGGGATATTTCAGTTTTTGGTAAGTGCATGCATCAAAAAAAAAAGGATTTGTTTTAATAAAATGTATTTTGTAGATCAAGTTTAGTTATCTAGAACTTTAAACCAACCCTTGTGGCTCAACTCTTACAGTTATGATTTCATTATTTTACTTTTTATTTTGTAAACCTTACCTTTATACTCAACAAGATGGCCGCAAATTTTTGGACTTCAACGCATGGGTAATGTCAACTTACTAGGTTATAAAATTTACGTTATTACATCTAAATACCTTTTTTTTTTTTTTTTTTTACCCTTAATTAGAATGCACTGGTTACTTAGTCGTCATGCTCTCGCTGAATGTAGAAAAGTAGATTTAAAAGTCGTGACTGAACAAGAGTTAATCAAAGTTAACATATGGTTCGCACAAAGTAAGTGAAAACCTAATTTTAATTTTCACTACTTTAGAATATATACTCTTAACCTTGTTAAACTTCTAATTTCATAATAGTAATAACTGAACTTGGAAGAAAACTCTCAGTACGTCAAGTAATTATTGCAACGGCCATTACTTATTTCAAACGATTTTATACAAGGTAAAATTTTTCTCATTGAAAAAATATAAAGCTTTTCACCCTTGAAATCTGTCTAAATTTCAATTTTATGCTTCATAGAAATAGTTTTAGAAATACCGAACCTAATTTAGTCGCCGCCACATGTATGTATTTAGCATGCAAAATTGAAGAATCTCCACATCATATAAAAACCGTTATCGCAGAGATGAAAGCAATCATTATAGGTAAGTTAATTTATCAAATTCAATACCTTTTGACACTTTCGACTAACTCCTCCTTTTACACATACACACACACATACATGCATGCATGCATATATACATACATATATAGAGAAAGGAGGAAGTTTTCCATATGATAATCAAAAAGTAGCAGAAATGGAATTTTATTTATTAGAAGAGTTAGAATTTAATATGATAGTATTTCATCCATATCGTTCGTTAATGACATTGGCACAGGATCTAGGTACCAAAAATGATGATGTACAATGGGCTTGGTATATTATTAATGATTCTTATCGAACTGATATGTGTTTGTTATATCCGCCACATGTTATTGCTACTGCTGCTCTTTATTTACAAATAGCACTTAAGGGGGGGGGCTCAGTATGGTGATTATTCGCTTACATCGACTACAAGTAATGCGAATAATAGCGGTGCTGCTGCTGGAGTAACCACAAGAAATGCAAGAAGGGGTGCTGGTAATAATGCTGGTAATGTTAATGAAACTCCGAAAGTAAAAGATATTAGATTATGGTTCGCTCAATTAAATGTTGATTCGGAACAGGTAAGATTATATCAGGTGTTATTTATATTTAACTTTCGTTTTAATAATTAATTTTATTTTATGTTTTAGATAATAGATATTGTACAAGAAATAATATCATTATATGAATTATGGAATGAATATAGTGAAGAAGTTAAATCAAATGGATTGCACGAATTATTATCAAGATTATTAAACAAATGAGAATACTTTCGTAGTATAGATGGTATTTTTGACCTATAGATAGATTTCGTTTTTCTTTATTTCCTTTATTTTTTTTTAAAAAAAAAACTTACATTTAAAAATTTAATTAAAAAAATCATTACATAATAAGTGTATATGCTAGGTTATTTTTATTATTGAAGTATATTGTTTTGTCTAATCACATAATCTTTCTGATCAATCAAACAACAATATTCAATCATAAAACCTATCATTACTAGTCATTCCTAATAAACTCGATATTAAGCAAATCTATTAAGTAATAAAACGGAATAGCTTAAACCGACTTTGAAAGAGAATATCGCGTAGCATCATTAATATTCTTATTATTACAACAGAATGCACAAGTTTAGCTTGCGTGTCCTCCTGTGTAAACTATTTGTTACTATGGCTGCTCGTGTGTTTTGTAGATCAAATAGATGTAAGCGAAAGTGAAGGTATACATATCTTGGAACCATATGTCGTTGCCCACGTCTGATACGGATCCTGTGAATGCAATAATATAGCTCTGTAACCTATGGTGTTCTTTACAATAATCACTAAACGAATTCATTGGAGGGTTTTCAAATACTATTAAATCAAAATCATGTGAGGTGTATATTATTATTATTTTATGTATAATTTGATCGACAAGATTGTTTCATTTTGTAAACTAACCATATTTTTTTAGTAGGCAAACAATTAGTATATTATAACAAGAAAATTATAGTCCTAATTATTTAATTAGTTAGACGTTTTTAATTGTTATTTTAGGAAGAACTTATGTTTAAAATGAATAAACATTACATTAATTATTATTATTTTTTATTTATATTAGAAAAAAGGATTTAATCATTTCATTAAAAGAATTGTTACCATCATCCTAACGTGTGAAATATCAGATAACATCCCTCCATGTTTTTTATAAGTTTGCACTAAAATTAAGAATTGTCTTCATTCGATCATTGTTTGCGAATGCTTGAGTTATCACCTCCGAAGTAAATGGCTTATTCGTGGATGATATTTTCCATTGTTTCATTATTGTTTTCGAGATTCGTCGTAGAATGAATAATTGGTTTTAGAAGAGGTATTGTGGAAATTGCTCAACTCGAAGCGAACCTGGATCATAAGCAATCATAGTTAAAAATAATCTAACTAAATCTTCCAATGATAATATTTTATCATTAACGTTCCTAATATTCCTTCCTTGGATTTTTATTTCGGAACTATTTTGCTCGTTTTCTAAATGTATTGTTAAGTAATAGAGGTGGATCAAACGATAACGGATTGATTATACATTCCTAGTGAGACCATGTATTTCGCAGGATATAACTGTCATCACCAGTGTTGTTAATTGGACAATTTAACAATTGGACTTAGTTCAATTCCAACTACTATTATTAATTAATAAAATTAGTTTATTAAGTTTTATTATATTATTTAATTTATTAAATATTATTAAAAAATAAGATATATATATAAAAAAAAGTTATTATTAATATAAAATATTAAATCTTTATTTATTAATTTTCACCTACAATAAAATTTTCAAAATAATTTGGCAATTCTAAATTTTCAATAAAAATATCACCCAATTTCCATTTAGTTTGTAAGTCAATAGCAGAATGCTGTATTTGTTCAATATTATTAACTGAAATATTATATGTATCAATAATATCCATTATATTCTCTTGATCTTGTAATTCATCTTCAATCATTTCTAGCCAATTTGATATATATTTGTCCATCATTAATTGAAGTAAATGATTGTGTATATATATTATTAAAATCTTCATTATTATTAATTTATTATCACTATTTATATTTTTATTATTCAGAAAGAATAAAAGTTTTATCATTTTTAATATTAAATTTTATATTATTCGATTCAGAAATAATAGAAAGATGACTTATAGTTATTTTATTTTTTTTGCATAAAAATCTAATTCTTGAAGTTGTTGTTATTTTTTGCATATTAGCACAAATTTGTATTAAACCCAAACTTTTTCTGTCTAAACATTAAAAAAAAATAAATATAATATAAATAATTTATAATTAAAATATAAAATATAAATAATATACCTTTAAACGATTTCTTCTTTAAAATAATATCATCCCATTGTTGAAAATATCCTTTCTAATGATATTATTCATATAATAATTGAAAAATCTGTTAAACAACTCTATATAATTCTTTTGAATAACCTTTTGTAAAATTCTAATAATCTAAAATATTATTTTTAAATTATTTAGAAATAGATTCAGTATAAGAATATTTTTTTGATTAATATTCTTTAAGTTTAGCTAATAAAATTTTTAGTTCTCTAAAACCATACACAATAATAATATAAAATACATTTTACTAAATGTGAAAATGATAAATTTGAAATTATAGGGTTAAACTTTAAGTTATAATAAAATGGATGTAATAAGAATGCTAATAATAAAAGAGATTACTCCTAATCTTTCCATCATTTTTCAAGTTTTATAATAAATTTAATAGTTAATTTCTTATTATTAAATGATTTTAATATCATCATAATTATATTACTAAATCCATAAAGAACTTCATGTAATCATGAATTATAACATTAAATATTATTAAGTATATCACAATATGAAACTAAAAAAGTTTTAATTTGTTTAACTTGAATTTACTAATTATTATTAAAAATACAATTCAAAATTTTAATAGAAACATTATAAGTATCAAATATAACATTTTCATCAATTTTTGTAGTAAAATTCTAAAAATAAATTAAAATAAATAAATTAATAATAAATTATATAATAGAAATAAATTTATATAATATTAAATTATACTTACACATAAAGCTGCTTTTATTTTTAATAAATTAGCAAAATAGTAATAATGTGAATTCTAACAGGTAGTTGTTAGAGTTATCAATATAATATATTATTATAAATAGCTGATTGTTTATTTTGAAGCTGTTTAAGTATACTTTTAATCAATTAAAATAAGTGATTAAACTAATAACTTTTTAGCTATATCATTTATACTTAAAATATTATCAATTCACAAATTCATTTGATATGCAAATATTAAAGCTTTACATAAGCCAATTTGGCTTGAATTGTTATTGGCTTAAGCTGAGTCACTTTTTTCAATTCAGCTTAGCTTGACTTGTGAAGATTAATTAACAAGTTAAACTAAGCTAATCTGGCTTATAAGCTAGCTCATTTAGCTTACATTTATATTTAGAAATGAAAAATTATTGAAAGAAATGTTTCTCATTAAGAAAGTATTCTCAGAACAATTCTTTTTAAGAGAAACATTTTCAAAATAATTCTTTTCAAAAGAAATGTTTCCAAAATGATTCTCTTCAAGAGAAAAGTTTTCAGATAATTCTCTTTAAGAAAAATGTTTCTGAAATGATTCACTTTAAGAGAAATATTTTCAGAATGATTCTTTTCGAGAAAAATATTTTAGAATGATTTCCTTTGAGAAAAATGTTTTTAGAATGATTTCCTTCAAGAGAAATGCTTTCAAAATGATTCTCTTTATGAGAAATATTTTCAAAATGTATCCCTTTTAAGAAGAATATTTCTGAAATGATTCTCTTTAAGAGAATTGTTTTTAGAGTAATTTTTATAAAGAATTTCACTTTCAGAATGATTTTCTTAAAAGATTTCACTTCTAGAACATTTTTCTTGAAGGATTTCACATTCAAAATGATTTTTTTGAAAGATTTAATTTCTAGAGTGATTTTCTTAAAGGATTTTGCTTCTGAAATGATTTTCTTGAAGGATTTCACTTCCAGAGCGATTTTTTTGAAGGATTTTATTTCCAAAATGATTTTCTTAAAAGATTTCACTTCTAGAATAATTTTCATAAAGAACTTTATTTCTGAAATAATTTTCTTGAAGGATTTCACTTTTAGTACAATTTTCTTGAAGGATTTCACTTCTAGATAATTTTCTTAAAAAAAGTGATTAGTGCTATTTCTTTATTCTAGTGAAAATATTTAATTTTATTAATATTGTGATATTAAATTTATATAAATAATGAATTTATCTTTATTTTTAATTTACAAAAAGAATAATTATAAAAAGTTAAAATATTTTTAAAAAAAATAAAAGTAGATATAAAAACTTTTATAAAACTTAAAAATACTCTATTTATATTAAAATAAAAATTAAACTAAATTATTTTTTAAAATAAAAAATTTTCTTCTTTTATAATAATTTTTAATTAATTAAATCTGAATTTAACTATCCTTAAAGATATATGCATTTATTAATTATTTCACCTTTTAAACTGCATCTTTCTAAGTTATCAAACTTATTCTAACTGAAAATATTCTTTTTATTAGTACACTAGTAGCTAAAAAAAATAATAAATTTATATGAGTAATTATAAATTATAAAATAATACAATCAATAGTTATATTAACTTGAAATAGCTAAGTAATCTTTAGTTATTTTAAAAAGATTTAGATATTCATCTTCATAAAGCTTTATAATAATATTTATAAATTAATAAATTAATTAATATATTATTATAATAAATAATTAAATATTATACTTACTTTTCACCATAATAAAATATTTGTTTTATTTGATACAAATGACTCTTTAAGATAAACTTTAAGCTCATCTTTATGATATATTTTTCTTTTTGATTAAGAATATCATCTTCTAAATTATCAGAAAAAATATTAGCATCTGCAATATTTTTATATTTTTTTTTTCAAATAGTTATTATAATATTTTTTGCTTTATTAATATAATATCTTTTCCAATTATTAGTTTCATAATATTATAATTTTAATTGTAGATCTATTACTAATTAATTATATATAATAATTAATAATAAAATAATATATAATTAATTTATTTAATTTTATAAATTAACTAACCTGTAGTAATAATATAATTAGTTTTATCTGTTAATAGATAATATCCTAATATTTTTTTCTTTACTAATTTAGCTGCATATTTAATTTTCAATTTAATAATATTATTATCAATTATATCTTTAATTTTATTTATTAAATAATTATAAATTGAAATACTATATGAAAGTGTAAAATATAATTGACCAGTAATAAAATCTGATCCTTTTTTATAAAGTTAAATAAAAAATTATTTGTTAAATATTTAAAATAAATTTAAATTAAACATTTTTTATTAATAAATTATAAACCTGTAAAAATTCTTATATATTTTTAATACAGTCCTATTTATCATCTGAAATAATATATTTATTAAGGTCTTTATTAGATAATGCTATATTATAAAAAACATTTTTAAGTAAAATAGCTTTTTCTAATATTATTTCTATAGAATTCTAACAAGTTTTAATATCTATTATTAATTCTAATTGTTAAAATTTTAATACAATACATTATTG